TTCTCCAGGATGTAAATGAAAGATGGAACCATATTCACCCCATCATTAAAGAGCTACTGTACTGCTCATCAAAGTTGCAATAGGATACAAGCACCCTTGCCAAAATTGCAACTTAGTGCCTTGAATTTGGCTAGAGGTGGATTTCAACTTTGTTTTTATGTCTTCTTCAGACTTAAAAGGCAAAAAGCCTGGCACAACAAAGGGACTGACTCTCTTGCCTGTTATTAAATGAAACACCTCCCCCAGCTCAATGAAGAGTTGTGCAAAATCTGGACTTTGGTTCAGAGGCACTACCCTTGTATGTAGGGCTGTGGTTGTCCTCCTTGCTCTTATGTAGGAAATTTCACTTTGGGCTACTTAAGGTATAGTGTGAAAGGTCGAAGGGCCTACGAAGCTGAGTCCTTTCTATGTGCCTTTTTCTAGGGTGAAATTTCTTTTTGCTAAGGGTCTTCTGTGCCTGATACATCCTGCCCTTAAGAATCACCTTTTCAAAAGATTTTGGGGTAGGAAAAGCTGACAAGGTCCCAAGACAGAATTCCATCCAACCTCCTTCAGTCCTCTCAGCATCTAGTGTGACACCAAGGGCCACGCTTTTTTGCTTAGAAGCTTTCACTGAAGATCTGTGTTGAACTGAGTCCTGCAGCTAGCACTGCTGGGCTGAGGCGGCTCTTAAATAAAATCACAGATTTCAGTGCATTTCTTCCTGAGTAAGGGTTGGGGATACTGATGGGGTATGTATGACATCTTATGGGTTATTGGGAGAGTAAACTGAAAGCAAGTTTCAGGCTTCATCAGATCTGTTTGGTGAAAAATCAAGTTAATTAATATGATGGGAAAATAATACAATCAAAATGCTGCCCCGCTGGCCTAGCTCCACTAAGACACAAGAGTAAAACACTTATTCCACTATCGAGGAGAGTAGGCACAGTATTACTGCATCATCCTGCTGCGTGGACTCTACGTAATATAGGCAAGCAGTTACCTACTGATCACTTTTGCAAGCTTATTTCTTCTGTGACTTCATGCTTGACAGCAATTAATTCCTGTAGTGCTTTTCCTTTCAAACTTTTCCTTAGACATCTCTTTGGTATTAATTTGGTCTTAATCCACAAGGGAGAAATTTATGAACTTCTTTTGCTCAGTATGTTAAAATTTGAAGAAATTTAGGAGAATGGTTAGGACTAATGTTATTTGGGGTAACCATTTTTATCACTATCTGCCATGGAGTGTGTATGTGTGTGTAGAAGGGGGGTGTACGGGGGCAGGATAGGGAGAAGCTGCCCAAAGTATTTGATGAAAATCTTTTGATTGTCAGATATGAATAATTTTTCTCTTTAAAGCAAGTTAAAACATTCCAAGCCTGAAAGAGATGAAACAGTCATGGGGGGAAAAAAGTTTCAGGAACAAAATATCCTTATTTGGAAAGCCAAATCTCTTTTCAAAAATGCACTTAAAACCAGGGTCCAGTTTAACTCTGAATTCATGTGCAATCCTGCTCAGGCTGGGGTTTCCACAAGTGCACAAAGAAACTGCAGAGGGATTGGAGCAGACAGCATGGGATGTTTTCAGGTACTCTTACATGCTGCTGAAGAGACTATTTTGTTCCCTGTTCCAGCCAGGTTTTCTGTGCTACTGACCTAATTTTTGCCTATGGACGTGTAAAAATCTTTAAGTACCACAAACTGCACCCATTCAACAACAGATGCAGACACTAGTAGGGCTGAAAGAGCAGCGTGCCAAAGTATTGGCTTGCTGCTGATGTGTCAAATATCACAGGGAGAAAGGCTTTGTCCCTCTTCTGTCATCCTGATTTATTAGACATTAAGAAAGACAAAACACCCAGACACACAAACATCTCTGTTTTGGGAAGGTTTGCGAAACGGTTAATGCGCTTGTTCTACACAAAAATGTAAAGTGTCAGTTCTCTGATTACCTACTGTTGAAAACTGTTTGGACAGGTGCTGCGTTTCACCAGCCGTCTGTCACAGCTGACAGCTCGGATTTATGGCTGCACACCAGGGCCGGCCATCCCCCTCCCCGGCTCCACTCCGGGTGCCGGGCGGCGGCTGCAGGCCGGTCCCTCCCGCCGCTCTGCCCGCTCGGGAGCTGCGTGCCGCTGCCTCTGCCCTGTGTGACAGCAGACACACCGACGGGTTCTTCCTCCACCTACGTTCACTTGCGTGTGGAAGCGCGGGCGTGGTCAGAGCAGTATCGCGAATGGGGCGATTTTCACCCGAAGGTCAACAGGAGGAAATTCGTCCCTTGCCTCCTCTTTGGAGGATGATGCTCAAACAGGAGGAGGCGGAGAAGACCCTACCTTTCAGCAAGCGAAAGCCCCCCCAGTTCCGCCGCCGAGCGGGCTCCCGACAGCGGGCGGTACCTGCCCGACCTCCTACCGCCCCGCCTCGGGGACCCCTCAAGTCCTCATGTCGACCTTCCGGGGAAATCCAAACAAATACTAAGAAAGGATGGCGAGGACACAGATATACCTGATACTATACTCTTGACGTGCGTTTCTCGATATATCAAAAACATCGAGTTTCATAGAATATAGAATCCTTATTAACAAGGCACATCTCGAATCCTGTGGGCTTTTCTTTTTATTTTTTTAAAGTGCTCTTATTTTTTTAATGAAAAATAGACTGTTCTAAAATTAAAAAGTCCAATGTCATCTTATTAAGCATACATTTACACACAAATTCAGCCCTACTCACACTTAAATACATCCGATTAAAATACACACTCGTGGCTGTACTAACAAATTCCACCTTCCACCAAGGTGCTTTTAGCATACCCTGAAATATGACCTTTACAGATCTACAAAATCAGAAGATATTAGCAGTTGTATACTGACAGGTCATGTGGACTCCTATATATATATATTTAAAAAAAAAAAAAAAAGTAAAATACAAGCCAGAGGAAAGAGTAGTATTTGCACAGAGCCTTGAAGGCAGAATGATGTCGAAATAGTGTGTGTGTGCGTGCGTGTGTGTGTGTGTATGCATGCGTGTGTGTACATAAAAACCAATTCCTTCAAGGGTTGGATTACTTCATACATTAGTCACTAATCTCTCAATGTTCTGCTGAATGTTATGGTCTGAGCTAAACACACCGTGAAATCTGCTTGAGCTGTATTGAAACAAGTCAGTTTTTCGGCCACAGATTGTTCTGTTTGAAGCTTTCCTTTCACAACACACCTTCGTTATTCTGAATAATTTTTTGCGAATAAGGTAGAAGCCATTCAGCGGCTGAATCCCTGTGCTGAGGAAAGAGGAGGAGGGAGAGAAAGTCTAGGATCCGAAACTAGTGTAATTAGAAAAAAGAACAACCAGAGTCCAATATTCTGCTTGTGATGGTTTTAGGTGATCTGTGCTTACAGAAGACTTGAAAGGGAAAAAGCCCGCCGATTTTCATACTTTTCAAAGGTTTAATGAAACCAACCAACCAAACAAACGAGCCCTGAGTTATCATTTCGACTCTTGTATAAACTCTTAGCGTGCGGGGACGCCACTAATTTGTCATTCAGTACCACGGGCAGTTAGACCCCTAACTTTCTTTTTTCAGACTTAGCTTTTCTTAGGCTTTCCTGATCACTTCGGGCAATACGAATCAGCCTTAACATAACGCCCGTCGGGAGAAGGCAATGCGTGCAAACTGCTTATTGCCGGCAAATACCCCCTAGTCTTCACCTCGCTGAGGTTTCACCCCTTCAGGTGCCTCTACCAGAAGCAGCCGGAGCCCAGTAGTGTCAATGACCGTCCTGAAGCGAGTTTTCTTTGGACCGAAAGATGACAACAGGATTACATGTCGTCTGCTGTCCTTTGTGGGGAAAAAAACCCAAAACCAACAAAACCCCCACAAAACAAACAAACAAACAAACCCAAAAGGCAGGCAGACGATCAGGATTTCCGCAGGCTGCCCCCAAGTCGGGCAGCCCGCCGTACAAATCTACCTGCCTGCAAATCGCCAGCCTTTCCGGAGCGCTGAGCTGCGGCGCGAAAATCTGATCTGACTCGAGGAATTGCAGAGGATTTCCAAACCTGGCAGTAGCTCAAGAGGAGAATCTCTCTCATCTCCCGTGACCGAAATAAGGCGGGTCCGTATGTGGCATCTCTACCCGCTGGCAGGGATGGAGACGTAAGGGCAGGCAGCCCAAGCCAAGCTTCTCGGCCAAGGTTGTCTCACGACAGGGTTCCCTCCCTCCTCGCCAGCACAGACATCACGCTCTTCTCCTTATTATCTTCTTTATTTACTGGGCAGCTTTTATTCGGGGGAAGGGAGAAAGGAAAAAAAAAAAAAAAAAGGAAAAAACATGGTGGCCAAGTGTCAATAAAATGCACACGCACATATATTATATACAAACACAGAAATAAAATACGAAAAAAATTACTCTTCTCTTTCCAGTAGCAGTGCTCTTGGCCATAAACGTAGAACGCCAGCCAGTACAGGAGACAACCTCTGACGTTTCCTTGAGCCCTTTCCCCTCTCTCGCCCAGCCCACCCCCTCCAATAATTAAAAAAGCTGCACTCTCTTTGTGTTAAAAACACTACTTTTATAAATAATTTAATGTCCTCCCTTCCCACGAAATGCTAGTTGCCGGACAGGAGAAAAGATTTACTTTTGGCACAGTGATGCATTGCTTTGCAGTACAGACCTACGGCTCCAGAGCAGCCCCCGGCCCCCTCCCTTCCACTCTCCCTTCTCTTCCCGGCAGCTCCCCCGGTCCCGTTCCCCACCTGGCCCTCCCAAGCGCACAGCGCATTCCCCTGCAGCCGCCACCGCGCCCCTCCGCGGGGCACTCCCCGCTCTGCTGCCCAAGGCTTCGGTAGCAGGAGATGTGGGAACAAGACCGGGAGGGACAGAAAGGAGGTGGCGGAGGGACTAGCTAAAGTCAAGTAGTCTCAACGAACAGTAAGAAGCACTTGAGGCTCATGGCTATGTCCAAACCGACAGTTTGATTTTTTCTTTTTTTTTTTTTTTTTTTTTTTTTTTTTTTTTTTTTTTTTTTTTTTTTTTTTTTTTTTTTTTTTTTTTTTTTCTTTTTTTTTTTGGTTTAAGTTAAACCCACTGTCTTTTCACTAAGGCACAGTCACCGAGGCTTTTGCTTGGAGGCTTTGGTCGCCTCTGGAGTTAAAGTGCGGGATCCAGAGCCTCCTCCTTTCCCCCTCCACGCCTCCCCGGGCAGGTCTCTCGCAGGGGAGGAGGGGGGCTCCATTATGCCAGAGGGGTCTCCACGGCGTACGGCTGGAACGAGGCCGAGCCCCCCGCCGCCGGCGGCAGCGGCCCGGCCAGACGGAGGGGCCCGTAGAGCGGGGAGCCGGGCGGCGGGCCCCGCCCGCCCTTGGCGAGGGCAGCGGGGAAGAGCGGCACCCTCGGTCGCTCCGCCGGCGGCTCCCCCGGGGACAGCGCCTGCCGCCCGCCCCCCAGCAGCAGCGGCGGCGGCGACGGCTCCCCCAGCCCGTAGGCGCAGAGCTGCAGGAGGCCGCCGCCGTAGAGGGCGGCAGGGGGCGGGGGCTGCGCGGCAGGTGGGTAGGGGAGCAGCGGGTAGGGGCCGGGCAGCAGGTGCGGGGGCGCAGGCGGCGCCGGCCACAGGAGGCGGGCGTGCGGTGTCGGCGGCGGCTGCGGGGCGGCGCGGGGTCCTGCCGGCCGCTGGAGGAGGCTCTCGATAGCGAAGGAGCTGGAGAACTTGGCGCTGCCGCCCGGCGGCCTCGCCCCGCCGCCCCCCGCCGCCGCCTCCTTGGCACCCTGCGCGCAGTTGCAGGGCGAGGAGGCGCAGCAGCATCGCGGGGAACCGCCGGGGGACGCGGCTCTCGCCCCGGCCGCCTCCTGCGGCGCTTGCGGCGGGGCGGCGGCGGAGCGGGCGGGCTGTGGCGGCGGGGCAGCGCGGCTGAGGCGCTTGCGGCGGCGGCGGAAGACGCCGTCGGCGAAGGTGTACTCGCTGCTGGGGTTGAGCATCCAGTAGTTGTCCTTGCCCCAGGGCCGCGCCGGGTCGCGCAGCACCTTGACGAAGCAGTCATTGAGGGAGAGGTTGTGGCGCACCGAGTTGCGCCAGCCGGTGTAGGCGCCGCGGAAGAAGGGGAAGCGGCTCATCAGGTAGTCGTTGATCTCGGCCAGGGTCAGGCGGCCGCCGGCCGAGTCGCGGATGGCCATAGCGATCAGCGCGATGTAGGAATAAGGCGGCTTCGGCCGCCGCGTGTAGGGTTTCCCCTTGGCGCTCTCGGCCGGCGGCGGCGGCGGCTGCGGGGTCGGGGGCGGCGGCGGGGGGTGCCCGGGTCGCCCGGTCCCGCCGCCCGGGCTGTTGGCCGCGCAGTCACCGTCCGAGCCCAGCTCGCTGTCAGCCGGAGCCGGGGAGAGCGAGCCGCTGCCTTCCTGGTCGCTGCCGGCGCTCAGCTTGTCCTCATAGTGCTGCGAGAACACCTCCAGCTTCATGGCGGCGGCGCCGGCGGCCCCCCCGCACCCCGCGGCTCCGCTGGGCGGGCGAGACCCCCGCCCCTCAGCGCGGCCTCACGGGAGGCGGCGAGGCGACCCAGGGGCTTTCTATCCCCGCGCAGGCTTGGACAGCTCCGCAGCAGCTGGCAAGGCGGGTAGGGCACTGCAGGGCAGCGGGGCTCAGCGTCCGCCTCAGCCAGCCGGCCCGGGGTCGCTGGCAGGGGGCTGCCCCTTCCTGGCCGGTGGGCGCCGGAGGACGGGCGGCGGTGCTCTGCCTCCCGACTCCTCCGGCTTCCACCTGCTTCTCCTCTACCGGGGCGCTCGCTCTCTTTTCGCCCCTCTTTTTGTCCTTCTCGCTCTTCACTCTCGCTGCTCCATGGGGTTGAAGGAGAGGGGCGAGGTGATCCCACTGGAGCCGGCGCGAGAGGACGGGCGGGCGGCTGCCGGAGCCGGCTCTTCTCCGCGTCCGCCCGAGTCCGCTTCTTCTCGGGGGCGCTGCCGCTGTTCCCGTTCGGCGCTCCCCGGGCGCGGGGAGAAGCTCTCGAGGGCCGTCGGTGTTACTGCACTCTCTCCGGCTTCGACTCCCGTCAATGCCGGGACGCCGGGCTGGCTCGTCGCTGCGACGCGGGCAGCAGCCAGGTTATTAGAGTTATTAGTGTTATTGTCATTATCTCTCCCTTCCCCTGTGGTTCTGTGTCTCTCCACCACTTTCAGACCAGCCCATTATAACGCCGGCGAGAGGCGGAGCCAGGACAAAGATCTGAAAGGGTGGTGGGTGGAGAAGCAAGGTAGCAAAGGTGGGTATGCTCTAATAAGCCGTATCAGAGCCGTAATTAGCCAAGATGACAGCGAGGTCTTGTTGGAAAGTTATTTTACGCAACTTGTTTGTATTTTCTCCTGCCAGGTCCCTCCCTTTCCCGGGTATTTCGAACGAAGCCGCAGTTCGGCGCGACTTCGCAGAGCCGGGCCCGCCTCCCAGGTGTAAAATGCAAAATGACTTATAGGTGGCAGAGCTGAACCTGTTACGTGCAGTGATTTATTTTAATAGCGCCGTATAAAGCAACAAGTTGTAATATGACAACTCAACAACCTGTTGGAAAATAATACATGGCTTCGCAATTCTGAATTCCTAATGATTTATGTAGTCTGACAAAATAGTTTCAGCCCGGGTCCCTCTTTCTTTCTGTCACAAGCACACCTGGTGCAGAGGTAGAATGGGAACAGGTAGGCAATTCTTTGGGGTTTTGCTACAAGAGATTTAGTCAAAACCTTAACCTTAGTTTTAGGCATGTTACTCTGCATATAGTGGTGTTGCTTGATCTCTTTTGAATGATGTTTTTGTAGCCTCTCTTACAACTGTCACACTCCAGTAAAATTTTTTGTTTGGTTTTTTTTTGTTTGTTTGTTAGTTTGGGAGAGTTTTGTTGTTGTTTTTGTTGGTTTGGGGTTTTTTTAAATAGTAACTTAAACATTTTTTAAAACACTGTGGATCTATAAATTTTCCATAAAGCCTGAGAGAAAAAATATTCTGTAATTTGACCCAGACACTTTTCTTTCCAGAAAAATTAGTTGTTGGTTTGGGGTTTAATTTTAGGTTTAATTTGTCAGGGTCTTGCCCTCTTTCAGATTTTTTTTGTCCCTCAACATTACGCTAGACAGAACAGCTCAATAAAGAGAGCTATATGGTAGTAGCTTCTCTGAAAACTACCTGTTCTACTCACTGTTCAAAGTCAATTGCAAAATGCCATTTGACTTGACACGGCAGTAGCGCTAGCATCTGCAAAACAGTAACAAAAACATCAGCAGAAATCTGCTGTGTTGCTTATGTTTTATTTCTCGTATGTACACTTTGAATTTTGTGTCCTGGAGTAAGAGTTGGATTGCTCCATATTTTCCAAAAGCAATCTTTCCAAATCCAACCTTATTTTAGCCTAAATACATAATTCAGAGTCACTCTGGTTAGGACAGTGCTGTTGTGGTCTGGCTCTCAAGAAATGTTGGCTCTCAAGATGAAAAAAAGGCAGGTTTAAAAGACTAAGAGGAGAAACAAACAGTGCTACTTTCTATCTTGCTCTCTCTTGAATAGAATATACGTTCCCACACACACCTGCATTTTGTTTCAAAGCGTTGCCATTTTTTCAGTCTGCATGAGTCTTAGGTGGTAAATAACTGAACAGTGACCGGTTCTTCTCTCCCTCTGGATGCACTTTTGAAAACTTTTTTAATAATAGTACGTTTGGTGTCTTGCTGTTCTCACTAAAGCTGTACCAGTTCAGAAAAACAGGCAATTCAGTGATTTGAAAGACAAAAATAAGAGGAGGGAGACCTCTCTTGGTTCCTTGTTGTTGTTGTCTCCATGTAATGTAAACCAAAATCTTTCAGTAAAGTGTTGCCTTAGCTGTAGGTGCCAATGTTTGTATTTAAGGGTATGGGAAAAAAGTATCATTCCTTCCAAAACTCATATTTTCTAAGATGATGCCAGTGGTAAGGGTAGTTTTTTTCCTCTTCCTGCTTTTGTTGTAAATAGCACTGAAGTAGCGATGATTTGCTAGCTTGCCTTTGATGTTTATTTTATTACCGTTCCACTATTTGTGTGGAAAATGTACACATTGTCTCTTATCTTTATTCAAAGAACTTAAAAAGTCATTCAAATGCTGTAGGTAAACACGTCAGACATAACAGAAGCTTTTTCACAGCCATACTTCAAGACTAGGAGTGGATGGCAAAGCTGGTTTTGCAAGATTTAAGAGGGGACAGAAGCTTGTACTCAAAATAATACAAAGATAGCTATTAATGGCTGGGAGGAGGGAACCTTTCGAAGATCAGTGCTGCTTCTTGTTGTGGCCTCTTTGGTATCTCTGAGCCAGTGCATGGTGTAAACTGAACCTTGAAATCTGTGGTGGCTCTTCCCTGAGAAAACATACAAAGGTGGCTGTGAAAGGGCCATGCACGGTTTAAGCATGAACCTTCTTGGCCCAAGTGAGAGCAATGTCAAGCTCATTGCTGTTGCTGTTCATGAAACAACGAGCAAAGTTGTAAGAAGTGGTGAAATAGTCCAACTACTCCTGTCTCTCACCACTGAGAGTATATGTAACCTCAAGCCTTTTCCTGCTATAGTTTTTTAAAAGGCACAGTATCGCCTTCAGGTTTATAAAGATTAACACAATCATCGGAAAAACTGATTCTGTTAAGTAAACTTCACATCAAAAGCACTTTGATGTGCTGTATTATAGCAAAGCCAAACACCCCACCCCCATCACCCCAAGAAAAACCTCCAAAAACCTCCAGTGAAGCAATGTAAAAAAAAAAAAATCTAATTCTTTGTTCTAAAATGAAATGTCTCTTCCTCTTTAGATCAGCAGAGCAGGACTTTTTGATGTGTGACCCCCTCTTTTCCTACCCAAAACAGTACCCAAAGACAAGTGAAGAAATGCGAATGGTTCCTTGAAAATCACATGCTCAGCTTTGTGTCCCATTTTCTATAGTATTTGACTAATTTATTTCAGAAATAGTAGCGTTCCAATGGGTATTTGGAGATAAGGTAGTGTAGTCCTTTGCAGTTTGCTCAAACTACGAATTATAAAAATGTTTGTTACTAAATATAGCAAAATGCTACACTCTCTCGTCGTTGTGGATATATTTTTGGTTGACCCAGTTATGTTGTCTCCGTGGTGTTTTAAACCATGGAGACATGGGTTTTTCAGTTCAGCAAACATCATGCAAAGGTGTGTCATAATATGTTCTTGCTTTTAAATCTTTTAAAAATTATTACTTTAAAATTCTTTTTATGCAGTCCTTTCTTACCATCTTTTCTGCCTTCTGTCTCTCCAGACCACTGACTAGATTAGAGAGATTTTCCAAGTAAGATCCTATGGGCATGACTGGTAAATAGAGGTCCCTCTGGTGACTGGCAAAGTCCCATAGTTAGTGGTAGGCAAGCGTATTTGTGCATCTGAGATGTCCAGCACACCAGCTGGACAAAGTGCTTCGTCATCTCTTCTCCTCCTCCTGTGGCAAAGCTGCAGGAGTGCACTGCCATGCCAGGAATGATGAAACTGGACAATGCAATACTCTACATGAGCAACAATAGACCAGTTCAGAGTTAGGTTTGGATGGGCTGCTCACAGCAGGAGATGTGCCTAGCATGCATAAAAGAACCACAGAGTCTGTGAAGGTTGGCTAATTGCACTATGTATATTTTTATAGTTGAAGGAAATCCAGCTGGAGACTGAGCTGTAAGAAGGGAGGCTAGTGGAAATTCCTTTAGACCTTGAGAGAAAAAGTTTTATCAGTGAAGCAGAATGTATGTCTGTGTGAATTCCCTCATTGGGAAAGACTGGCACTTTTTCACAAGGACAGCCATTCCCTGTGGGTAGAGATTTTCTCATGTCTTTGGCAGGTACTAAGAGCTGAATTTACAATGGGGAGTTCCATTTCAATTTTGTTTCATGCAGTCTTTATTTTCTTGGGAGCCACTGCTCAGAATAAAAATTTTCCCATGCTCAGAGCTTAGTATCACTTCCTCCCTATGCGCGCTTCATGTTCCATAAAAACTGTGCATCGAAGCAAATTTTTTTTTATCCAGAGTCCTGGATTGTGACAGAATGGACAGGGGCAGATTTTCTCCTGTGAAGACAGTGACATTACTGCGCTTGTTACTAATGCTTAGTGCTGGAGAAATAATTCCAGGTTCCTACACCATTGTTTTCATGCAGAGATCTCAGAGCTCTCCCATCTTACAGGCAATGAGGAGTGAAGGGGAGTCCTGTTGAAAATAATTTGGTAAGTTGGTTGCCACCCTGTCTGTAGAACTGAGCTCTTTGGAGCCCTTCTCCTGCACTATGTCCACTGAGGTATCTACCACAAGGCCTCATCAGAAAGTGTTGTACCATTTGGCAAGGAGCTGTCAAAATGGAGATTGTTCTGTCCTGAGACTCAGATAATTTATAGCTAGTTCTCTCTTTTTACTAGTGCTATGTTAAGCCTCAGGGGCTTGAATGGAGTTCCACACCAGCATAAGATGAACCTCTGGAATATGTTGCAGGTTTGCAGTCTGAGAAAGTACGTGACATAGAAGAGTGCAGGGTGAGGTTAAATCAACACAGTATTTACAACATATTTTGTGATGATTTAATTCAGTAACTGTCCCCATAGGCTTTTCTCATAGCTGATTACCTGCTTTCATGTAACTGCACCAAGAGAGAGAAAATCCAAATGGTGTTAGACTTACAGGCTTGTGGATCTTTTCAAGAAGATTTTTTCTTACAGCAAGAAAGAACTGGTATTGGAAAGGCAGTACACGTATTGATAAGTCTGAGTGTAATTGTCAGGGCAGAATTGCTAGTGAAGAGACAGACTCCACCGCAATTAGAAGTTACGCTGTGTTATGTTTGTTGTGAAGTTATGATGCAGAAGCCATTTGGTGAATTCTGTGGCTCTCTGCCAGGAATAGTGAATATTTTTTTGCTACTGGTGCCAAACAAACTTAAAAAGAAATCATCATAGCTTGTTATTATTGGTGCCAGACCAAATATCTGCTGGCGCCAAACTAGGTATTGGTGCCAGAGGCTTGCTATCACTGGCCCATGATATGAGGAAACACCAGCTGAGCTGTTACAATAGCCTCTTATTGCCTTCAAATCCATGCATCGATGGGGTAGAGCGAACAACTTCGTAAGAGAAGTACAACAGAATTAACCAAGAAATGAAGGGCTTTGAATATGTGGAGAGTCGTTGAACTTTGCTAGCCCTTTCTGGAGTACACCTAAGCCAGCTCAAAGCCACATATAT